TCTGTTACCCGGGGCTCTGGTCCCCTGTCCCGGGTAGAATTAAAAACACTTTACCGATTCCTGGTTCTCACTGGGTGAGCTCCAGGCCTGGTTCTAAGAGAGGCTGCTGTCCCGGTTCTGTTACCCGGGGCTCTGGTCCCCTGTCCCGGGTAGAATTAAAAACACTTTACCGATTCCTGGTTCTCAGAGAGGCTGCCGTCCCGGTTCTCTGTTACCCGGGGCTCTGGTCCCCTGTCCCGGGTAGAATTAAAAACACTTTACCGATTCCTGGTTCTCACTGGGTGAGCTCCAGGCCTGGTTCTCAGAGAGGCTGCTCTCCCGGTTCAGTTACCCGGGGCTCTGGTCCCCTGTCCCGGGTAGAATTAAAAACAATTTAACGATTCCTGGTTCTCACACGGTGAGCTCCAGGCCTGGTTCTCAGAGAGGCTGCCGTCCCGGTTCTCTGTTACCCGGGCTCTGGTCCCCTGTCCCGGGTAGAATTAAAAACACTTTAACGATTCCTGGTTCTCAGAGAGGCTGCAGTCCCGGTTCTCTGTTACCCGGGGATGTGGAGCCACGGCTGGGGTGAGTAGCTCCGCAGCAGGCCCTGGTTCTCAGAGAGGCTGCTGTCCCGGTTCTCTGTTACCCGGGATTGTGGAGCCTCTGCCGGGTTGAGTGGCTCCGGAGCGTGGCCCCCGGTTCTCCTAGAGGCTGCAGTCTCGCTTCTCTCCCCCGTGCTTGAGCGATGGATTCCGCCTGTGAGTTTTCGCTCCGGTCGGTCAACTTCAACTTGCGAAAAAGCGTGTAAAAATGAATGCCACCCGGGCAAGCCATACATGCTTTTAAAGGTCTCGCTGAGGAGAACAATTCGGCGTGGGTCTCTGATTTTTATACCGTTTCCCCGATTTTTAAGCCGCGAAAGAGTGCCGTTTTTCCGCCCGGTCAACTTCAACTTCCGGTAGAGCGGGTGAAAACGCGTTCTACCCGGGGAAGCCATATATCCCCGTGAATGCCTAAGCCAGGAGAACAATTCGGCGTGGGTCTCCCATTTTTAAACGGTTTCCCCGGAGCGGGGCAAGCGGCGGAAGTCGCGCCGGAAAAACGTTCGAAAATCGGTCAAAAACGCCGAAATCCGGGAAAAACGCACCACGGGCCGTTTGCCCGTGTTCCGTAGGACAGCCCTGTGCGGTCGAATGATTTTTAGCACGTTCACAGGAGCCGGGAGAAATTAAAAATGGGTTTCCGGGTATACGAAGCATTGGCCGCCCTGGACAGGCGCTTAAGCCCCGCCCAATCGGGGAAAATAGCACTTCCAGCTCACATAAGACAAAACCCCGCCGGCAGAATTGGAAGAGGAGCTTTTTCAAGAACGGCTAGGCCCATTGAGAAGCGGATTTTTGGGCCTGAAGCCCTCCAGGGCCCTTCCCATGCCTCAGATATGCCCAGAGCATGGAGCTGCGGCTCTTCCTTCCTGCATTTTTGAGCGTTTTTCCCCGTTTTCGCTGGTTCTCTCCCAGAGCTCGGTAACTCCATGGATCTCGCTGCCGGTTGCCTCCCTGGGCTCCGGCTGCTCTGGTGAGTGTCCCGCTGCCCGCAGAGGCAGCCTCTTTCGGTCCGTTTCCGCCATTTTGTTGCCTTTTCGCTGGTGGTTCTGCTGGAGGTCTCTAGCTGCACGGATCTTGGTGGGGACTTGCTGGCGGGCTCTGGCCGCTGCGGGGAGGCTCCCACGGCCTGGATAAGGCCAGTGGAGCGCTCTGTGGCACTGCTGGAGCTCTCTAGCTGCACGGATCTTGGTGGTGATTTGCCGGCGGGCTCTGCTCTGCTCCGGGGCTTTGCTCCGCTGTACCATAGCCACAGAGGCAGCAATGCTGGTTCTCTGTTGCCCGTGTGTCTGGAGCCATGGCTGGGGAGAGTAGCTCCAGAGCGCTCCCATCATCTCAGAGAGGCAGCCGTCCCGGTTCTCCGTTAGCCGCGTCTCTGGAGCCATGGCTGGGGAGAGTAGCTCCAGAGCGCTCCCATCATCTCAGAGAGGCAGCCGTCCCGGTTCTCCGTTAGCCGCGTCTCTGGAGCCATGGCTGGGGAGAGTAGCTCCAGAGCGCTCCCATCATCTCAGAGAGGCAGTCGTCCCGGTTCTCCGTTAGCCGCGTCTCTGGAGCCATGGCTGGGGAGAGTAGCTCCAGAGCGCTCCCATCATCTCAGAGAGGCAGTCGTCCCGGTTCTCCGTTAGCCGCGTCTCTGGAGCCATGGCTGGGGAGAGTAGCTCCAGAGCGCTCCCATCATCTCAGAGAGGCAGCCGTCCCGGTTCTCCGTTAGCCGCGTCTCTGGAGCCATGGCTGGGGAGAGTAGCTCCAGAGCGCTCCCATCATCTCAGAGAGGCAGCCGTCCCGGTTCTCCGTTAGCCGCGTCTCTGGAGCCATGGCTGGGGAGAGTAGCTCCAGAGCGCTCCCATCATCTCAGAGAGGCAGCCGTCCCGGTTCTCCGTTAGCCGCGTCTCTGGAGCCATGGCTGGGGTACAATTCAAAACACTTTCACGGTTCCTGGTTCTCACGGAAGAACAGGATTTTACCCAGCAAACAAGCACAAAACACGGGGGAAGTGGCGTATGAAACGCTTTATTGAACACAATCACATTATTCCAGCGGCTGCTGGTCAGCCTCCCTGGAGAGGTCGAAGGTCCTCCGCATGTCTGCCAACTGGCTGACAGTCAGTTGCATGGCATAGAAGCGGTCCGCGGTCCTAGTGTCGTGACACATCAGCTGGGACATACGCTGCCGGACCTCAGCGCACTGCGTGTTCCTGGCCTGCAGAGAGAGAGAGAGAGACAGACAGGTAAGTACAGGAACAGAGGCTGGGGGTGGGTTAAAGCTTCACGGCGGCATCACCAGCTCAACACCTACCATGGTGGCCACGGCGGTCCGTATGTCTGTCAACGAGGGGCTACCCGGCAGGCGCATCCTGGCCCAGGCGTCGCGGGCGAAGGACGTCAGCTTGTTGACGGGGCCTCCGTTCAGGTTGAAAAACATCAGGTCCGAGTCGGGGCGCAGCTCTCTGCGTATGGCCATCCATCTTCTCAACCAACCGTATTCCTCCGGCGTCAGGAAGAGCTGGGCGCTCCCGAAGGCCCGGTTGGTCTTGTGGTGCCTGACCTGCGGAGGAACATACGACGAGAACGAAAGTCAGTTTACCCGGAGTTCTGGTTCTGCACCCGGGATGAAGCGCTTTCGCTGCGGCGGGGCACTCACGTTGATCACGTAGCCGGACGAGTCGTGCCTGGATCCCGACTGTTCGGCTTCTTCTACCTCACTCACTCTCATGTTGCTGACCACCCCGGTTCTGTGGCCGTAGAGAGAAGCCACATACAAACCGAAGTAGCCTATGAGCTGGTTCCGTAGGTTGACGTCGCGCTTCCTCCGCGATAAGTCGCGCAACAGCACTGGTATGCAGGTCCGGCATCGCTCCAGGCACCTGCGTAGAAGTTCCGGCGTTACAGTGCGTCGCTCCTTGTCGTCCTTCACCTGGATCTGGTGGAGGACGACGGTGGTGGATATCTGACTGGCAGCGGACTTGAGGGCGCGTGCGACGGACACCAGGCCTCGCTTGGTGACCCTGGAGCCCTCGGGTGGAGTTTCGCTGAAGTAGGTGAGGAACTGTCCCGTGTTGACGAGGTACACCTTGACCGTTGTTATCTTCTTCCCCTTTTTCAGCAGGTCGGCCGGCCAGCCCATCACCCGGTCGGCGTCGTCGAGGAACTTCCAGGAGCCCAGGTCGCTCTTGCCCTCGGCCATGCGGTCAAGGAACTGGGTCAGCCGGCCCATCTTGGACCGTACGTTTTCCACGTGCTTCTTGGATGGCAGAGCACCCACTAGGTGCCGCTTGTAACCGCTCATGTAACGTACAACGCATTCAGGGAACTCTATGGGTTTACGCACCGGGTCGGGTGTGGTCGAGGTGGGACTCTGTCTGCCGGATCCCTCCTCCTGCTGCTGCTGCTGCTGCGGCTGCTGCTGCTGCTGGCTCCCCGGCTCCGGCTCCGACTCCTGGTCCGAAGATTCGGTCAGCATTTGCGGCTCGGCGGGGCGGGGAGGCGATGGTTCTGGAGGCGATGGTGGTTGCGGAGCTTCTGGAGACGCCGGGGGGGAACCGTGGTCGTCTTCCTCCGGCTCCTCCTCCTCCTCCTCCTGCTCTCCTCGTTCGGCTCAACCTCCACCTCCTCGTCCTCCTCCTCGTCCTCCTCCTCGTCCTCCTCCTCCTCGTCGCTTTCCTCGTCCTCCACCACCGCCACCCTCCGTGGCGGAGTGGGCCGAGTCCCCACAGCTGGGCAACGCGGGCCTCTTCGAGGTCGAGCCCTGTAGCTAGGACGGGGGAGCGCCTCAGCTCCCTCAGCTTCTCCAGTGTCCTCTGCCACTGGAGGCCGGTCAGAAGCCGCCTCTTCCGCCGCGGACCCAGGTCACGGTGGGACTCTTGGAGGTGTTGGGGCACGCGCCGACCGCCGTAAGCGCAGCCCTGGACCGGACAGCGCATTCCCCTCACATTCACCCGCCCCCTGGCGTAGGCAAGCAGGATGCGACGCTCGACGGGGTTCCTCACCTTGTGCTTGCCGTCCAGGTGTTCCCTCAGACGCCACGATCTGCGGGAGCACACTGGGCATCGGTTGTCAAACTTTGAAGCGGTCATTGGTACTCACCCGGCTGCTGCAAGACTCCGAATGAGGCTGCAAGGAACGCGCCTCTGCCTAAGTAGCCGTCCTACCAATCAAGTGGGATGCAGTACACCTGTGGCCAATCGGGCCGGTTCCTCGGCCCTGATTGGAAACAGGTGTGCTGCATCCGGCGCCGCCGAAGAAGCGGGGCGGAACTGCGGACGGGATCTTCGGTCCCGTCCGGCGGGCCCCCCATCTCCCGCACCTGCGGGGGGGTCGACCGCACCCGCGGTCGACCATGTTAGGACCCTAAGTGGGGTTAGCGAAAGCGCCCCTTGGGTCACGCGGATGGGGTGAGCTGACCCCCCCCATCCACGGGCGGACCCCCCCGGTCCCCCCCTGAGTGGGGCCCCCCCCTGGCCCCCTCCCTCGGTGCCGCCCCCCCAGGACCCCCCCGGCCCTAGCTCCAGGGCGGAGAGGGGGCTGGCCGGTCCCCCGGGGCCGGTCAGGGCCTCCCCTCTGTGGGGAGACCTGAGCCCCCCCTCCCCGTCCGGAGCCCAAGTCCCATCCGCCTAGCTCCAGGGCGGAGAGGGGGCTGGCCGGTCCCCCGGGGCCGGTCAGGGCCTCCCCTTTGTGGGGAGACCTGAGCCCCCCCTCCCCGTCCGGAGCCCAAGTCCCATCCGCCTAGCTCCAGGGCGGAGAGGGGGCTGGCCGGTCCCCCGGGGCCGGTCAGGGCCTCCCCTTTGTGGGGAGACCTGAGCCCCCCCTCCCCGTCCGGAGCCCAAGTCCCATCCGCCTAGCTCCAGGGCGGAGAGGGGGCTGGCCGGTCCCCCGGGGCCGGTCAGGGCCTCCCCTTTGTGGGGAGACCTGAGCCCCCCCTCCCCGTCCGGAGCCCAAGTCCCATCCGCCTAGCTCCAGGGCGGAGAGGGGGCTGGCCGGTCCCCCGGGGCCGGTCAGGGCCTCCCCTCTGTGGGGAGACCTGAGCCCCCCCTCCCCGTCCGGAGCCCAAGTCCCATCCGCCTAGCTCCAGGGCGGAGAGGGGGCTGGCCGGTCCCCCGGGGCCGGTCAGGGCCTCCCCTCTGTGGGGAGACCTGAGCCCCCCCTCCCCGTCCGGAGCCCAAGTCCCATCCGCCTAGCTCCAGGGCGGAGAGGGGGCTGGCCGGTCCCCCGGGGCCGGTCAGGGCCTCCCCTTTGTGGGGAGACCTGAGCCCCCCCCCCGTCCGGAGCCCAAGTCCCATCCGCCTAGCTCCAGGGCGGAGAGGGGGCTGGCCGGTCCCCCGGGGCCGGTCAGGGCCTCCCCTCTGTGGGGAGACCTGAGCCCCCCCTCCCCGTCCGGAGCCCAAGTCCCATCCGCCTAGCTCCAGGGCGGAGAGGGGGCTGGCCGGTCCCCCGGGGCCGGTCAGGGCCTCCCCTTTGTGGGGAGACCTGAGCCCCCCCTCCCCGTCCGGAGCCCAAGTCCCATCCGCCTAGCTCCAGGGCGGAGAGGGGGCTGGCCGGTCCCCCGGGGCCGGTCAGGGCCTCCCCTTTGTGGGGAGACCTGAGCCCCCCCTCCCCGTCCGGAGCCCAAGTCCCATCCGCCTAGCTCCAGGGCGGAGAGGGGCTGGCCGGTCCCCCGGGGCCGGTCAGGGCCTCCCCTTTGTGGGGAGACCTGAGCCCCCCCTCCCGGAACCCACCCGGTTCACCCAGGGCTCCGAATATTCAGGCCGAATATCGGGGCCGAATTCTGGGTGCGAAACGTCGGTCCGTTCCCCCGGTCCCATTCCCCGGTCCCATTCCCCGGTCCCTATCCCCGGTCCCATTCCCCGGTCCCTATCCCCGGTCCCTTTCCCCGGTCCCTTTCCCCGGTCCCTATCCCCGGTCCCTTACCGCAGGCCACCAGGCCTGCACCCGCGAAGGCTCACAGTCCGGGCCATCGCGGGTGCAGTCCTGAAATTTTTCAAAGTCCCTATGCCTGACCAGGGGCGCAGAAAAAGGCATAAAAAGCATTGCCCTCCCTGAACAGGCGCTTAAGCCCCCCCAATCGGGGAAAACGGAACTTCCGTTACCCGTTCCTAAAAACCCCACCGGCGGGATTTCAGGAGAGAGTTTTTCGAGACCACCAATTCCGGAAGAAGAGCGGATTTTCGGCCGTGGACCCCTCCAGGGGCCTTCGCTGGCCCCAGATGAGAAGGTAAGTTGGTGATTTATGGGGTTTTCGGCCGTTTTTGAACGTTTTTCCCCGCTCACGGTTCCATGTGTGCAGGAGCTCTCCAAGTCGATGGATCTACCTGGCGATTGGCTGGCGGGCTCTGGCCGCTCTGGTGAGTCTGTCCAGGGCTGTAATCAGTCCGTGGACGGCTCCCTGGTTCTTCTGGAGCTCCGTCAGTGTCCCCCAGGGTCTGGCTTCAGCCAAGCCGACCGCAGTGCACTGTGAGCGGATTACGGTCCGTCCCACGTGCCTGTTGGAAGTCTGGCTCCCAGCCCAACATCTCCGACCGACCGATAAGCACACGTGGCCTGCCGTGGAGGGCCCCCGCCGGCCAAGGTGCCCCGGCACCGGCGCTTCGGCGGACGGTTCCTCCAGCCCCGCAGGCTCGCCTCCAGGCCCGGGCACGAACGCAGCGGAGCTGCGCTTCTGCCCGTGGCCGTCCCTCCTCAGCGAGACCCAGACGCCCCCTCTCCCCGGCGGAGAGAGGCATGACTTCCGTGCTGGTTCTCCACCTCACCTGCCATGGATGGCCCCCGTGGGCCCCGGTGCTTCGGTACCGGCGCTTCGGCGGACGGTTCCTCCAACCCTGCAGGACTGAGAATGGAGAACCCATCAAAGGAAGGCATGCCTAATCAGAGAGAACGGCGAAACACATCCAAGGAAGGCCTGACTAATCGGAGAGAATGGCGAAACACATCCAAGGAAGGCATGACTAATCGGAGAGAATGGCGAAACACATCCAAGGAAGGCATGACTAATCGGAGAGAATGGCAAACACATCCAAGGAAGGCGTAACCGATCGGAGAGAATGGCAAACACATCCAAGGAAGGCTTCACCAATCTCAGAGGACGGCTCGGATGCCTCCGAGCCGTCCACGGACCGGCCCCGCCCGGGGTTCGGCCAAGAAGATTAAACTTGACTATCTGAATTTAAAGTCGTAACAAGAACACCTCCGTAGGTGAACCTAAGGAAGGATCAAGGGACCGTCCGTCCTGTCCTTGCAGAATTAGCGCCTTCCATATGCACACAGCCCAAGTCCCATCCGCAGCCTGAGACCCACCCGGATGCCTCGCTCCAGGGCGGAGAGGGGGCTGGCCGGTCCCCCGGGGCCGGTCGGGGCCTCCCCTTTGTGGGGAGACCTGAGCCCCCCCTCCCGTCCGGAGCCCAAGTCCCATCCGCCTAGCTCCAGGGCGGAGAGGGGGCTGGCCGGTCCCCTGGGGCCGGTCAGGGCCTCCCCTTTGTGGGAGACCTGAGCCCCCCTCCCCGTCCGGAGCCCAAGTCCCATCCGCCAAGCTCCAGGGCGGAGAGGGGGCTGGCCGGTCCCCGGGGCCGGTCAGGGCCTCCCCTTTGTGGGGAGACCTGAGCCCCCCTCCCCGTCCGGAGCCCAAGTCCCATCCGCCTAGCTCCAGGGCGGAGAGGGGGCTGGCCGGTCCCCTGGGGCCGGTCAGGGCCTCCCCTTTGGGGAGACCTGAGCCCCCCCTCCCCGTCCGGAGCCCAAGTCCCATCCGCCTAGCTCCAGGGCGGAGAGGGGGCTGGCCGGTCCCCCGGGGCCGGTCAGGGCCTCCCCTTTGTGGGGAGACCTGAGCCCCCCCTCCCCGTCCGGAGCCCAAGTCCCATCCGCCAAGCTCCAGGGCGGAGAGGGGGCTGGCCGGTCCCCAGGGGCCGGTCAGGGCCTCCCCTTTGTGGGGAGACCTGAGCCCCCCCTCCCCGTCCGGAACCCACCCGGTTCACCCAGGGCTCCGAATATTCAGGCCGAATATCGGGGCCGAATTCTGGGTGCGAAACGTCGGTCCGATCCCCCGCCGGTCCGAATTTTCGGTCCGATCCACCGCCGGGCCGAATTTTCGGTCCCATTCCCCGCCTGTGCGAACTGTCGGTCGGATTCCCCTTGCCGAATTTTCGGTCCCAGTCCCCGCCGGGGCGAATCCCCAGTCCCAATCGCCGGTCTGGATCCCCGGGGCGACTCAGCAGGCAACCAGGCCTGTACCCGCGAAGGCTCACAGTCCGGGCCATCGCGGGTGCAGTCCTGAAATTTTTCAAAGTCCCTATGCCTTACCAGGGGCACAG